CTACTCGCAGTTGTAGTTGTGGTGCCTGATGACCCGAGCTATGTTTCCTTGCGCGAGTATTATGCGTACAAGTTACAAATATGTGCAGTTGATCAATCCTTCTTGCTACGTTTTGGTAGGCTTTTTCAACAGTTTATTGTAGATATGTATGTTAAAATAGAATCGCAGCGTCTGGACTTTTATAAATCGCAGCAAGTGGAGATAAGGAGTGAGGTCATGGCGGGGGTTGAAGATTCTTTGGCCAATGGTGAAACCGAGGCATCTATGATTGGACAAAGGATCTATCTTCCCTCGGGTTTTATTGGCGGTCCTAGAAACATGAAAAGAAGGTATATGGATGCAATGACTCTTGTCCAAAAATTTGGAAGACCAGATATTTTTTTGACTATGACGTGCAATCCAAATTGGCCCGAAATAAAGGCTTTGTTGTTGCCCTCTGATGAATCACAAAATAGGCCTGATGTTGTTGCTAGAATATTCAGAGCTAAACTTGAAGATTTGAAAAAGGAAATTTTGAAAAATCATATTTTTGGGGAGGTGGCTGCGTATACTTATACTATTGAATTTCAAAAGAGAGGATTACCGCATGCACACTTTTTGATAATCCTGAGGCCACAGTTTAAACTGTACACTGCTGATGAATATGATAGGATTGTTAGTGCAGAAATTCCGGATCGCATGAAGTCACCTCATTTGTATAACATGGTTATCAAGCATATGTTGCATGGGCCTTGTGGTCGTTTAAACCCTGAAAATCCGTGCATGAAAAAGACTGGAAATTGTAAAAATTTTTACCCTAAGGAATTTTGTGACAAAACTGCTCATATCAGTGATGCTTACCCTAAGTACATGCGTCGTAATAATAATATTTGTATAAAGGTTAGGGGTCATAAATTGGATAATCGTTGGGTAATTCCGTACAACCCATACCTTCTTGCAAAGTTTAATTGTCACCTGAATGTTGAAGTCTGTTCCACAATAAAGGCAGTAAAATATATATATATAAGTACATTTGTAAGGGGCATGATAAAATTGCTTTCCATGTAGATTCCAGTAAGCCTTTTGAGGAAATTGATGAGATAGAGCAATATGGTACAGCGCGTTGGATCTCACCACCAGAGGCCGCTTGGCGTATTTTTAGGTTTCATATGGGGGACATCAAGCCCTCCGTCATTCACCTGCAAGTGCATCTACAGAACTATCAGCGCGTCGCTTTTAGAAAGAGAGATAGATTACAAGGAATTGTGAATAATCCTCATAATAGGAAAACTATGCTCACTGAATTCTTTTACATGAATGCTAATGATCCGTATGCGCAATTGAAAAATCTCACTTATGTAGAATTCCCAAAGTATTTTGTGTGGCTGTCAACAGAAAGACGTTGGAAAAAACGAATCAAACGTGATTGTGTTGGTAGATTAGCAACTGTACATATTAGCGAGGGAGAACGTTATTATCTTAGATTACTTTTGTCGAAAATTCATTGTCCGAAGTCATTTGATGATTTACTGTTTTATAATGGCAGGTATGCGGAGAATTTTCGGGAGGCAGCACTTCATAGAGGGTTATTACAGGACGATAACAGTCAACAGTTATGTCTTGAAGAGGCGTCCAGGTATCAAATGCCTTACGAAATGCGGCGGTTATTTTCAAATCTCTTGGTCTATGCATGCCCAAATAATCCAAAACAGTTGTGGGAAAAATTTGAGGGAGAGTTGTGTGCGGATTTATTTAGGAACGCTAGATTAACTGCTGGTGAGGCAAAACTAAAAGCACCTGCACAGGTCGGTGGTTTTTTGGAATTGATGGGTAAAAATATCAGGTCTTTTAATTTATTACCTGCCGATTTTGATTTTGGTGCTGAAAAAAAACACGCGGGAGGTTGATGTTGAGAGGAGCATAGTTGTTTCTGAAGATGATCTAAACACTGTTGACCTCCTGAACAGAGAACAAAAAAAGGCCTTTGATGTAATAATGAAATGCATAGATGATAGGAAAAAGGGTGCCTTCTTTGTTGATGGACCGGGGGGTACTGGTAAATCCTTTCTTTATAGGGCCTTGCTTGCAATTGTGCGTTCAAAAGGTGGTATTGCTCTGGCCACTGCAACATCTGGTATTGCTGCGTCCATATTACCAGGGGGTAGGACGGCGCATTCTAGGTTCAAAATCCCTATTGATTTGTCGGATATCAAGTCTTGTAAGATTAGTAAACAGAGTAGCTTGGGTGTCTTGATTCGGGATAGTAGGCTAATTGTTTGGGATGAAGCACCCATGGCTAAAAGGGATACCATTGAGGCACTAGATTTGGCTCTTCAAGACCTTTGTGGGTCTGCAGAAATTTTCGGTGGTAAGGTGATAGTCTTCGGTGGTGATTTTAGACAGGTGCTTCCGGTTGTCCGTAGGGGCAATAGGAAAGAAACTGTTGATGCTTGCCTCACTAGCTCAGACCTATGGCCTCAACTTAAAAAATTAAAATTGACAGAGAATATGAGAGCGCGTTTAGATCCTTGGTTTACTGAAATGCTACTAAAAATAGGCAATGGGCAGGAAACAACGTTTGAAGATGATCTTATAAAGATACCTGCTTCTCTAGCCCTTGCCGACCCAGTTTCCGAGGAGTCACTGGATGAACTCATAACAACAATATACCCAAATTTAGCAAGTTTAACCGAGATGAACCTCTCCATGAATCGAGCCATTCTAACAACAAAGAACTGTTTTGTTGATGAGGTCAATAAGAAGCTTATTAACGAGTTCCCCGGTGATTTGGTCGAGTACTTGAGTTTTGATAGAGTTGAAAATCCTTCTCATGAAGCTGAATATGGTGACATCATCAACTCGCTTACACCAAGTGGTCTTCTAGAGCATAGGCTGAGCCTAAAGGAAAATGCACCGGTCATACTGCTACGCAATCTAGACCCTACTGAGGGATTATGTAATGGAACAAGACTGATCTGTAAAAAACTAGATAAAAATGTAATTTATGCAGAAATTGCAGTCGCTGACTTTTCAGGCAAGAGTGTTTTTATACATAGGATACCATTTGAACCCCCAGCAGATGAGCAATATCCAGTCCCCTATACACGCACACAGTTTCCACTGCGTTTGTGTTTTGCCATGACAATAAACAAGGCCCAAGGCTAAACACTGGACCGAGTGGGCGTTTATTTGAGAGAACCAGTATTTTCACATGGGCAACTTTATGTTGCACTTTCACGCGCTAAGACTGCTACCTCTGTCAAGCTGCTGATAAAACCACCACTCTTCAATGAACATCGTCTAAATTACACGAAAAATATTGTTTACACTGAAGTGTTGCAGACAGCTCAAATTGTTTGAGTAATGGGAGTTGAGGTTAGTTTTGCACAATTTCAACCTTCATTGGTTCTGCATGAATCCAAATAAATTTGTCCCTTTTTTTTAACAATCAGTCTGCGGTTTGTAATTGCTGGGATATGTTGCGTGAGTTAGGCGCAGTTAGAGATGCGCCTTATTGCTATTTTGTCCTGTTGTTGTGTTTATTTTTTGTTAAAGTACTATATTGCAGTGCATTGATAATTCTCCTTATTTCAGAGTTGATGCAACATTGTTTTGCAGATTACAGCAACTGTAGATTGCTTGTCAGCATATGTTTTGTCCACGCTCCAAACATGCTTAAAAAATAACGCGCATCACAACACCGACGCCTACACCCTAAGTATGCTGGGACCAACCTATTGATGGTGTGTTAAATGTAACTTGTTCCTCAGCAAGCAGGTGCATTCTGGAGAAAAATGTTTGGAGTTGAGGAGGAACAATACCTTTGGTGTATTTTTTTGCAAGTTATGCTTAGATTTGTGTATCTGTTGTATATTGTGTTGCCCAGGAACATGATCATTCATCTCTGATCAACTTTTGGGTTTTAATTTTTGGATAAAATAGTTTTGCTTTCTTTTTAAGCTGCCATGTTCTTTTGCATTAATGCCTTTGTATATAAAACATATTTTTCTCCAGAGCAATCAATTCATTGCTTACTACAAATGTTATTGATGTTTGACAGTTTTTGGTTTAAATTTTTGTGATGAAATGGTTGTGCTTGGTTTTTAGGGTACCATATTCTTTGCCTTAATCCCTTTGTATTTTACACATATAGCCTGGAAACTAAAGAGTTGGAAAATAGCACAATATTCATTATATTGAAAGTTTGTTATTATTATAATAGATTACCTCCTCCTACCACTTTTGTTTTTCCAAGTGATACTGGTATTTTATTTTATATTTTGTTATGAGTGCTTACTTATGTGTTATGTCAATAGTGGTCTTGTTGTTTTTTTTATAGATTTTGTGTTTTGCATTTCAGCCCGTAAAGGAAAACAACAGAGGGAGAAGGGGTTGCTGTGAGGGGGATTGCTACCAAGTACGTAATTTTTTGGGGGCCATTTTTTTTGCCTTTTTATGTCATGGAGTGTTGGTTTCATAGACTTTATCAGTCATTATTGGGCCTCTTTGTGTATGCACATTTGATTTAACTATAAAGCTATGAACTTTGCTGAGAATCTTGGGGTTTCTCAATTGATGGTGTCATTTTTTTCAAATTTGATGTGAACCCAAATTTTCTAAAATTGATGGTGGCCTTTTCATGTAATGGGATGTAAGTTTCATAGACTTTATCAGTCATTATTGGGCCTGTTTGTGTATGCACATTTCATTGAACCCGAAAGCTGCGAACTTTGAAGGATTCTCAATTGATTGTGCAAATTCATAGCTTCACTTTGCAGATCCATAGCTTTCCTTTTAAAGATTCTCAATTTGTTTTGCTTGCAGGGGTATTTACAAATAGAGTTAGCCTCACTTACAGGCTTGTTCCACTTAGAATCTCTGGAACAAAATGTAAGCCTTTTAACGTATAACGAATATATTCCTTGGCCCGACAGTTCTTACATCGAAAAGTTGCTATCAAAAATTAAATTTTTCTAGAAAAGAGGATCTTGAAAAACTGCTATCAAAATCCCTTTATTTTCTAAAATGTGTGGTGACCAATTTGTAATGTTTAGATATTCAAGAAGCTGAAAGCACCAGCTTGGTTTTGAACTAGCAGGTGCATGAGTTTTTCTGTAGCATTGATATGGTGTAATCAACTAATCAAGTTAGTATAAATTGGTTTTTAATGCTTTTCAAGGTTTAGATTAATACATGAAATGTCCTTATACTTTTGTCTAATTATAAGAAATCTCCATCTGTCCAGACTATAATCTGAAGGGGTACTCACAGTAAGTCTCTATTATTATTAGCAAGCTAATCTTAAAGGGCCTTTACATTGGACCAAGCAGTTTCCAGTTCAGAAATTCAATTTCACTATAATTTTCTTTTTGGGTCTTATAAAAAGGCCTATCTGGTTCACTCAGCTCAATCTTGAAGTATTGGGCAATCTTATTATTTCCTGTGAAGTATATTATCTTAGGAACAATATGTATGCAAGTTAATATTAGCTGATCCTATCAAACATAAATATTATTCAATATATGCTTTACATTACATAATCAATAAATATATAATACAATTATTAGCGTATGAAAACCATGAAATATATTATAAACATATATTTATGCTAGTAGTATAATCATAAAAATATCAAATCCCAACAGAAATCTATACAAATTTTCCAATAGTACAACATTCTAAATTCTAATGGAGGCAAACACAACAAATTTCTGTTGCAATTAAATTTGCCTTAAAATTTCAGTCGAATTTCGATTATTCGAACACCATATTTTTCTACGACAGAAATTTTTTTGGAACATGCAAATTTCGTTGATTTTTTTTTTTTTCCGCCATCAATTTCAATAGTTGAAAGAATTGTCTTAAAATCGTCAAAATTCAATACAAATTCCAACAAAACAGTAGAATTACCGTTTAGATTTTTTCAATTCAAATTATAACATCGAAATATCAAAGGTAGCATTATAACTCTGTTGAAATATTTGCCACTGAAATTTCACAATATTTTTAGTGCACTTTCATCTTTCAAAGGGGTACGAACAAATATTTTCCAAGGTAACATGATTGAAAAGGAATTTAATGTTAAATAAAACACGGACACATTATAACATGATTGGAAAGAATAACATTAAATCACACCTAAACATTGCACTCATAAGTCATAACATAATATACGCACCTCATCGCAAGCCAGAAAACTAGAACTCAGTTCAAAACACACATAAAATAAATTAAAAATTGAGCGGATTATTTTTAGAATTAAAAAATTGCGATTAAAAAACTAAATATCGGACTAAGCTTGGGAATGCGTACGTTTAACTGACGCAAAATTTTAGCTTGATTATAAAGGAGGATGAGTCTCTGTTGGATAGCAAGAACACTCTCTTTTTCCGTTTTCTATGATTTGTTAAATATCTTATCATGTTGTGAGACTCTTACCTTTATGATAGATTCATATCAAGTAATTTCAACCTACTTTCGCCAAATGTATCTATCAGTACTTTTCGAGCCGAGTAAATATATGGATAAAGTTAGACATATTTTAAGTTGAGAATTTTTAGACCCAACCTGAAAACAGATAATATTTCACAGTTAGAGACTAAACTCGGGCGCCTGTGCGTGCACAGGCGAGAGCCCACTAGTCTCCCCCTTACATATAAGCAAAAATGTAAGGGGTTAGGAGCCTGACACGTGGCGAGTGTGAAATTACTAAGATAGCCCTGCAAAAGCTATATTGTGCCCACTTGTTTAGTATTGTTCGTGAAATTACATTGACTTAATGACTTCGCTGCCTAGGGAAGACATGGGCGTGGCAGGTCCCGGAAAATCTGCTCAGATAGTCATCGTACGATGCAATTTTGTGGCCTTGGTAGCTGCTGCTTGAGAAGTTATGTGTGCTGTTTACGCAACCGATCATATCTGATGCACGTTTTTCCCATACTTTTCTCTTCTCTGAAACGATCTAGAAATTCATTTTTCGTCCTTAGATCGAACACCCACAGCCATGGCCGCAGGACTTCGAACATTTGAAGGTACTCGATGAAGCCGAGAGACTGTACAATTCCGAAGACGACGGTCGGCGGGGCGGGAGAAGACAGGCTTGAAGACAACCGATCCTTCCGCCGTGAAATAGGGTTTTGTCCAAGAATTCGACATAAACAAGGTGCGCTGTTTGGGTTAATCTTTTCAAGAGCTATTTTTTAATTTGACATGAGATTTTTTGTACTCTTTGTGGTTTATGTTTTCTGGGATTTTCCAATTCGCCCATATTTTTCGAATATTTTCAATTATTCTTATTTTGTTTTAGATTTAATTTGTGCTTGTGTGTTGTGATGATGCACTATATGTGGACTAGATTTTCTGATCTTGCATTTGAGGAGTAACCCTTGGTTGTGTGAGCACACTCCTCTTTCGATGACTAACTGCTTACTCGACTCTTAACAGCTTGTTTCTGTGTAAATTTCTTGCCTTTCAAATAAGGAGCACCAAATATTTGGTTGGACTTTGCTATTTCCAGGGCAATCTATAATGCTTCATGAGTTTTCAATGCTACAAGACTCCAATCTATGTTGGCGGCCGATATCTCAAGGTTATTTACTTTTCCACTTCATTTAATAGTCGGTGTACTTTACCTATGGCTTATATTGTACATGAATATTATTAGAAAAAAAAAA